TGGTTGTGGTTTGAGGGGAGGTTGTTTGCAGGCTTCTTAGAGATTTGAGTACAAGTAATCACAGCAGAGGTGGATCACCGGGTCTGACTGCTGGTGACGATAGCAAAGGTATATGATAAACGCAATTTATGACAATTACATGGATGATAAAAATAGATCTGTGCTTACATGCTGTTTGTGTTCTCAAGTGTAGGCTTTATGTGATACCATTTTTTCATTTTGGCTTCTCTACATCTTGATATGCTGGTATATTTAGGGAGGATATTTTTGCTTGTATATTATTTATGTATGTTTTTGTTACCTTGCAACTCACAGTTGCTAGCAAGTGCTATATTAAAAAAATTATAAAGCATGTAGTGCAGTATGTGGCTCAGGGAGACAGCTTTAATTCAGTGAGCTTCAAAATTGATTTAATCAAGATCTGAGTAACATTTTCCTATAAAAATACTATTGCTTTAAATCAATTTTTAAAAAGTTTAACTACACTTGAAAATTAATGTTAGTATAATTACAACATTCCTTTCTGCTCATGAGTAGAAATGCTACATGAGAATCAGGTACAAAAGCTGTTAAATCTGCAGGCGTGTTGTACCACAGTAATGCACTCGCTGTCACAGTCACTTGGCATTTTACCTTGTACTCACGCCAAAGCTGCATTTTGAGTCTCCAGGATGCAGCCTGGAAGATTCTAGTCAGCACTGCAGCTCTGGTGATGGGAGAGCATCAGTGTGGCATGGGGAGGGTCCACAGTGCACGCAGCTCTGTTAGATATGGGAAGGACTATGTGTGAGCTGTGAACCTCTGCCATTCACTATGACAGAGAACAGTAGTTTGGGTTATATTTTTCTAGAATACTACGTTCCATCTAACCTAGAAATGTCATAAATACATCATTTTAATGATGAAGTAATTTAGGCATTTTCTATTTGAGCCAATGTGCCAGTATGTCCATTTTAGTTAGGAGAATATTTTTACTACCACAATAATCAAATCAGATTGGTGGCTGGTGTTGGTTATAGGGTGTATGTGTCCTTCTGTATATGGGATAGGAGAGAGCATGTACATTTGTGTAGATAGACAGATGTATCAAATTGGTCTACACTGGCAAACATACTGCTACATCAGCATAGAGCACTGCAACAGCTCATGTTTCTCTTTTAAGGAAATACGTCTACAGCTATAAAAACACCTTCCCAATGGCATAAAATGCTGTAGTCTGAAAAACTGTGTAAAGGTCACAGAAAAGTAGAGAGAAACAAATGAGGCCACCTGCTAACGTATCTGTTACATCTGTGATCCAGAAGTGCCAGGATGATAGGAAACTAATAAAGAGTTTGTGATTTTCTAACAAACAGAACCTCGCTTTTACTGGCATCACAAGTAATTGGTGGCCCAAATGAAAGGACCTGAATGGTGGTTAGTGAAGAGAATTGCTTATTTGAGAAAGACAAAAGGAAGGCTGGGCTGCTCCGCTTTCTGTTGAGGAACTTGCGCACAGTCCCAGAAGATGAAAGAAGGCCATATACTGAATATTTCTGGTTAAAGATGTATATGAGAGGATGAAAAGATCTAATGCAATTGTTGAGCATATTACAGAACTCTTAAAAGAAGGAAGTGAAGGAAGTAAATACCAGAAGTGCCCAAAGTAAAGACCCTAGTGATCTCTGATTCCTGACACTTCCCTGATCTCTGGCACATAGAGACTGATATAATTTTGGAAGCATCTAGTTCAATACTTCTCCAGGGATCTTATCCATACTCATAATTATGGAAGCTCTTGTCTTTCAGTCCTAGAAGAAGCACAAACCTGTTAAATCAAGTTCCCCTTCTACCCCAACTTCTTCTCATTGTCCCATGAATTTAAGGCCTCCCTTCTAATTACTGACATAATTTAAGTATGGTCTTATTTACAACTCATATGTAAATATCCATTGTTCACATAATTGGTCACGTGGCTTGGTCAGTCACTGCTCCCACATATCCCAGTATCTGTTACTTGCACGAAACTTCAGCCACTTGATTGAAAAATGATAGCACATTGCTGGCAGAAAGAGAGATAGGAGACCCCGTTACTGGGAACATGTACTATTTGATTATAAGAGTGCTTATTTCTCACAAGGACACCAAAATGCATTTCGTGCTGGTGAACAGCAAAGGAGAAGGTCATGGAATAAGGAAGAACTAAAATCTCTGAAATTGTAGCACAATTGTAGCATATTCTTCCCCAAGAACACCTGGGTTAAGTTTTAGATTTTATTTGTAATGCCTGAAATAGTCTCTTTGGTCTGTAATAGATGTTTGTAAAAGTTTAGAAATTGACATTAGACCTGAGTACACAGCTATCTTTGTAGGTGCAATGCAAATGCCTATAGAAGGTCACTCCTGCTGCAGTCTTTTTTATTTTGCTATGCAGCTCATCAGTCCTTTTCTTTGGCTTCTTCCTTATCTCCTAGTTAACTTTTCTTACTGTTCTAAAGATTTTGGGGTGGAGTGTGAGTTTATCTGTGCAAGAAACTTTCATCACAGTAATTCCATTGCAAAGCTGAAAGCTCTCACAATTCTGTTGTTTCAGATTTTTGTTGCTTGGCTTTTCTTATCTTTGGAATAATGACATTTCAAAATGTTTTCCTGTTCTTCAAGTGCCCTTGATCGGAGGGTTGCTGCTGTGATAAACCTTTGCTAGCTAACATTTGACTTACTTTCATGAGAGAAATAGCACATAAGCATTTCACTCCCTTCTGTTCTGATCTGAATTTCAAGGTCCTTTCTTAGCATGTAGTGAAATCCAATGAGCTTTCTGAGGACTAGGTGGGAATCAAGCCTTCCCTTGTATGCAGATACGCAGCACCATCTCTGTTTCTATCCAGTGCGATCCTTCTGAGTGGGGCCTTCCCCATTTCTCCCACATCAAGTCACGCTTGATATCATAGGTGCTGCATACCCAGCAAACAGTAATAGCAGTCTATTCCACTCCTGAAAAAAAATTGAAGGCAAAGAAAAAGATCTAATATAAAAATATTTTTATTATTTTTAACAAAATTAATAATAATGAGTAATAATTATTTGGTATTATTTGGGCTACGTTTCGTTTTTAACGTTTGGGGTGTGTGCAGAGCCCACTACTCGCTGCTGTGAGGGGTCACCCATTTGCCCACCAGGTGACGTTTGATTGCAGGTATTGCTGATGACTGAAGAGCACTGTGCACATTTATGATGCTACAGAATGAGTCTTTTAGAATGTGTTTGGAGAATTCTAAAAGGTACCCGCCTAAGCCATTCTGTGATCCTACGATTTAAATGTTAGCACCAAACCAATGTGGCTTTACAAATAAAAGGACACCTTAAAGTCAGCACTAGCTCTGACACATTAAGAAATGTTTTCGATGAAAACCTAAGTAACAAATGGCATCTTGCTTGTCATTAACTGTTTCCTGCATTGTGAAAAGAAGTGCCCCATTGAATTGGGAATCCCACAGCAGCGCTGCAATGACCCGTGGGCAGGAAGGACGTGTTTCTGTAGGTTTTTCTAAAGGTAGCAGGGCTCTGGTTTGTCTGAAGTGGATACGCATGGACCACCAAGTTTCTGAACATATTGTTTCTCCCTGGAGTGGCAGCAACCCACCATCAGTCCACCAGCCATTGTTCCTCCAGCAACAAGGCACGCTTCTGCCCTGGTGTGGATTGTGAGCATGGCTTGGTTTTAACTTTGCAAGAAGTTTAGGAGTTGTAGCAGCTCCTCAATATCAATACCGCACTGCCTCACTTCATGTCGAAGTACTAGCCAATTCCTGTCACAATGTGCTTAGTAAAGCCCGAGTAGTCTTTTCCGTGATAAGTCTTTAAAGGCAAGGAGGTCCTGGTTAGAGATCATTTCTCCATGCCAAACACATGTAGAGCTGTTCTGGGCCAGATTTACTTAGGAAGTAAACCAACTGATTTTTTTACTTCAGGTTAGTGCCGAATTGCTAAGATGCATGCAGCGATGCTGTATTCTTGTGGGCGGTGAGGATCTCAGATAATTTGACAGATGTCGCTTGGAGAGAAAGAGGAGGAACCGGTGATGGCTGCTTCACGCGCAGTCTGCCACCGGCCTGAGCCGGAGGGGAGGGCAGTGAGCGCAGGGCCGGGGGTCTGCTCAGCGTGCGGGAGTGCCGTGCCCAGCACGTGGGGATCCTTATTCCCGCATGCAACTGCAATCAGTCCGTAAGCCACGGCTCTTCCAAGTAAACGAAACCATTAAGTTACGCTCGCAACTGGAAAGGCTTTGTTCCAGACCTGACTTTTCCCCGTCTTTCACGTTCTCAGCAGAGACCGCGTTGGCGGTAGGGAAAAGAAGAGCAGCCGGGCTTTGGACGCGGCCATGCCGCGCTCCGGCACGAGGGCGCGCGGTGCGGGGCGCGCAGGGGAGGAGGCGCCTGGCACATGGCACGCGGCTCGGCCCTGCCGCGCCTCGGCGCTCCCCGCGGCCCCGGCTCCCGCCCCCGGCACCGTGACCGGCACGGGGCCCGGCGGCGCGCTCCCCCGACAGCATCGCACGGAGCGTTCGGCCGCGGCTCCGCCGGCGAGAGCGGGGCGGCGGCGGCGGCGGGGGGCGTGGGGAGGGGGCCGGGGCCGGGGCCGGGGCAGGTGCGTGCGCGGGGGGCGCAGCTCCCGCCCGCCGCCCCTGGGCGGCTCCGGTTCGGCGCTGCTCAGCTCGGCTGGGCGCCGGCAGAGCGCGGCGCTCGCTCGGCTCGCGATCGTGTTTGCGCATGACCCCTCCCCGCCTGCGCCCTCCCCTCCCCTCCCCGGCGGCGGCGGCGGCGGCGGCGGGGAAGGTTAGCCTCAGCCTCAGACACGGGCGGCTGCTCGGCGGCGGCGGCGGCCGCGGCGACGCAGTGCAGAGGTGCGGGCGGGTCGCGCCGGCCCCGCGCCCCGTCCCTCCCGCGCCCCGCCTGCCTCCGGAGCCCTCCGCCCGCCGGCGGCCTCCCCGCGCCGGTGTCGGGCCGGCCCCCCGGCCATGAGCGCGGCGCTGGGTGTCCCCCCGCCGCGCCGCCTCCCCCGCCGCCCCCGGCGGCTGCCAGGCTCCAGGAAAGTAGCTTGATGAGTGTCCAAAGTAGCAGTGGAAGTTTGGAGGGGCCGCCATCTTGGTCCCGGCTCTCCACGTCCCCACCGAGCCTGCAGGGCTGCTCCGCGGCGGCCTCCCAGCTGCACGGCGCGCCGCCCGGCAAGCCGCCCAAGGAAGGTAACCGGCGCGCCGCGGGGCTGCGCGGGGGGCCCGGCCCTCGGGGAGGGGCCCGGCCGCCGCCGCCGGAGGCCGGTCCCGGGCTGGCGGGGAGCGGCGGCGGAGAGGCGGGTGCCCCTCGCGGCGGCGGTGGCGGCGCGGGGTCGGCGCCGGGCCCGGCGGCGGCGGCGGCGCCGAGCGGAGCCTCCGGCGCCGGGCGAGCGGCTCGGCCCCGCCGCTCCTCGGCGCCTCCTCGCGCCCCCCTCCCGCCGGGCCGCGGCGGTCCGCTCCGGCCGTCCTTCCGCTCGCGTCTGCTCTCGGCGGGGCCGCTGCCCGCGTCCTCCCCGGGAGCGGTGCCCTCCTCCGGCGGCGGAGTAACGGCGGTGCGCGGAGCGCGGGTGGACGCGGCCGTTGTTTCTGGATGGAAGGAGTCGGGCACTTTTGGCACCGCGGAGGTGGGGCAGGGACGGAGCGGAACCGCGGGGCTCGTCCCTATCGGGAGGGCGCCCAGGGAACGGCCGGCCCCGCGGCGGCGGTGACAGGGCGCCTCGCGGCCACCGCCGCGCTATGACTGCAACTTTCTGCTTTCCTCCATCACGCCTCGGATGATAATATTTTCCTCCTCCCTCCTCTGCTCCTCCCCTCTTGTGTTACACCGACAGGCAGAGCGGGGTGTTGTGGGTGTTTGCGGGGAATAGCTGTATGAAGGTTACTAGCAAACAAGTCCCTTCTCTGTTCCGTTCGGGTTATTGTCTGCTTTTCCTCCTTGCATTGAGATGCGCTGCCACAAGATGTAGCAGTTATACAGCTGGAGAGCGGCTCGCGGCTTTCTGCTGGGAGAACTACTTGTGGCGGGGGAGAACTTTTGTGCACGCGCACCCGCGTGCTGAACAGTTGTGTAATTTCTCTCCATTTGCCCCACTTTGATCAATTCCGCGTCGCTTGCCTACGGATGTCTGCAAAATGTCGCTGGCCAGGCAGGAAACTTGAGAACTTGAAATAGAAATAACAGCGAGAAGAGCGGTCTTTGTTTTTCAAGTCTTCCTGTGGCTTTTTTTTTTGTTGTTGTTGTTGCCGCTGTTGATAAGCACTTTGAGGGCTCCGCGAGAGCGAGGATTCGCTCTCCCAAAACGCAGGAGGTGCTTCTCCATTTTCCGTGCCAGCAGTTGTCAGACTTGTATCGCTCCCGTCACTCTGCACGCGCTCCTCCAGGCAGGCTGACACGAAATGCTCTAGAAAATACCTGGAGAGGGATTACGGTATATGTTAAAGATGCTGAGTAAAGTGGCAGGCATTTTGTGCTCCTGGAAGCCGACTGGCAGCAGAACGGCCGCCCCCAGCTGAACGTGCAGCTGATTTTAACTTTATTAGGAGTAGGTTTCAGCAGTGTCGCAACACTTGTTATGGATGTGTGCATGTAATATTCATACGGAGTGCCTGTGTGGGATATTTTCGGATGTATTTCAGATACCGAGTGCACAAGCCTGGTAATGATTGTTGCAGCACAACGTACAGATAACATAAATGTATATATTCTCTCTTTTTATATATATATACATTTATTATTTAAAGAGAACTGGTGTTCCGTAAGCATGTCATCTAGGCATGGAAAAGCAGTTTTGTGATGTTAATTTTTAAAGCGGCGATGATGATGATGGTGCTTTTTACATCCCTTCTCACGGCTCCTTGGTTGGATTGTTCCAAGTGCCGTAATTTGCACTGCGCAGATATGGGGTTTCAGAGCAGTGAAGGCCCAGCTCTGTGCACGGTGCTGTAACGGGCCTTATTTGTGTAGCATTCCCACACTGTGATGGCTGCGCTGCCTCAGTGGGCAGTTCTCTTTGGGGGTTGGTGTGAGCTATTGGTGCTCCAATCCTTATTTTTGGCGTAAGCTGGCAGGATGGTAGCAGCACACCTTGCTTCATAAGTGTGTATTTTGAAATGGAGCATCTTGTGTGAAAGCAGTAGGCCGTCAAACACTGATAGGTTGGTGTGCTCATCGGCATTGGCTTGTACGTGCGCGGGAACGATGGCAGGTCGAACTAACAAGTTCAAAATAACCTGAGACATGGTGTATTTAAAGGAGCTTATGTGCATGCTGGTTCTTGACTGGCGAGCCCAGGCAGCGCTGCCAGACCGTCTGTGTTGGAAGCTGTATGTGAGGGCGTGGGCCTGGGTGAGACTTGCACTGTGCTCGTACGCTAGCACCAGTGCTGTGTGTCTAGGTGTGGGCCTGCCATGCTTCTGCTGAGCCTTTGGCCTGGGCCTGCCATGTTTCCTTATGTGACACCCGTCCACTCTCCTCGACTCCTGCCGTTACCAGGCTGGCTTCTCTGCCAGATGTGCAGGCCTTGCGTGGTGCCTCGCACCGCGGTGCCTGCAGTCTGCTGGGACCGCTTCGCAACGGTGCTCATCATGTGAAGGTTCCTGCCACTGGGAGCAGGAACCCCTGGCACCCTCTTTTTGCAAGTCCAAAAAAATACTCTCTGAAGCCCTAACATGGAGAAACCAGCCAAAATCAACCAGTCAGACCAACCTCTGACATGTGTAGCTGTTACTCAAAGTTCTTTTGTTTTGCTTCTCAAATTTTAATGTAATATTCTGTTAGTATTGAAATGGGACTGCTTGGGAAATACAGGGTGAAATTAAAATAATTTATCTTTTTTGAAATGCATTACAAGTTTGTAGCAGTGCTTCATGAGGTGTTGTCTTCTCTTACCACTTGACTTGTAGGGGCATCATTGCCCAGCTGAGTAGATGTGAATTTGTGTTTTAGAGCTTTAAAATGAAAATATTGGCATGGACTTAAGTGAAGTTGCATCTGTACACTTCTCTTGTATCAGAACTGTCTTGTATTTACAATTCCATTTAGTATCGAACTTTCCTTCTATCCTTTGTTTTATATGCCAATAACTTATGTGTGGTATATTTGGTCAGTCATTTATTCAAGAACCATACAACTTAGGCTGTGAGGAATTTAGGAAAACTGTTAAGTAGTGTTACTACTTAACAGTAAATGCTGTATTTACTGAATCTTGTGCCATAGCTCATGTAACTGCAGTCATGCAGCTTGGCGTTTGAAGTTTCTTTAATGTTCACACATGGCACCGAAGAGATCACATTGCACAGCTGCAGGGTGCTGGTTTGGAAATGGGAGGCAACCAGGCTATCGCAGAGAGGACAGAGAGGTTTTGGGGCACGCACATGAGTATCTTAAAGTACTTCCTCCTTTGAGGTTGGAGGCAGGTCACCAGTGTCTGGCAGTTCAGTGTGGTGCTTTGCAGGTTGTTTTTTTTTGCGTGTGCTGTTGGCTTTGCAGACTTTACTAGGTGCAAAACAAAGTGCTAAATACAACTCTGAATCACCAGAATAGGAATGGGAAGGATCACGTCTGGAATTTGGTCCCAAGTTAAAAGGTGATGAAAGTGTGTTAAATAAGTCCATCGCGTTTTTCTAATACCGTTTGAAGAACTGTTGTTGTGGCTGTGTATTGGTACATGCATGTGAACGCTACCTGGTTGTATTCAGACTTCCAGGTTCTTCTGTGGTTGTTTGCTTCCAGTGTAGCAACTCAACTGTTCTATTTTTTTAATCAGTAAGTTCTCAGTAAGTTGTTTTACTGCAGTTTCTTACAATTTAGATACAGAGCTTTGAGAATTTTAAGGACGTAACCAGTTCATGTGAGAGCGAAGAAGAATGGGAACACTTCATATTTGAGAGTGATGGTATATTTTTACTGAGAACGAGCACAGCAATCATAAAAGATTGTTTAGGCCAACTGCAGCAGGTGTTGTGTAAAACTTGGTGTTGTGCCACTTGCATGCACTGATTCCAGCTTGTGATATTGTTGCTATCTCTGTTGCAGATGTTTCTCATAGTGAGCTAATACACTGCCAAATTCTTATATGAGATTTTTTAGTGTGCCCAAGTCAGAAGTGGGGAAAGAATACCTTTCTTAATGCAGACCCTTGTTTGAACCTGATTGTCTAAGAAGTAAGTGCTGTGGAGAACAGAGCAGATTAATGCTTGGGTGATTGTTTTGTTTTATTTCTGTTTTTCCTTGCCTAGAATGGAATTTCGCATTAACTTACTCAATTTTAAAAGGAGAGAGAATCAATATTTTTAAGGACAGGCTGTATTTATTTATTATTACCTCAATTCAAATGACAAGTATGTTCTTTTTTTATTTTTTTTTTCCCCTTCAGCAAGCTGAAATAAGCTTGCTTCTTTGTAATAACTTTGTTTTGTGGTAGGTATTGATATTACCTTGGATTTTCCTCTAAATGATTACAAAATGCCAGGAAAGACTAGTGTATGCATATGTATCATGGTCAAAGTGAGGTCTGTGCAATTTTGCTACCTGGAGAAAGGAGATTTTGAAAATAAGGCTGGCTTAAATAACTCTCTGTGCTTTCTGTGTTCTGCAACGAATGTTGCAGAGAGAACGGCAACAGTGGTGTTTGTTTGTTTTTTTTTTTAATACTTGTTCCCAGCCCAGTTCACTCCAGTACTAAATATCTCATCCCCACACTGAGATCTTCGCACATGCAAGAGTTCAAGTTGAATGAACTTTGTAAACATATACTATTTAGTAGAATATTTCCTGAACTGCAGCTCCACTAAAATCTAAAAGCATATGAGGGAAAAAGAAAACTTCTGTCTTTGTGAACTTTGTGAACTTCTTTTTGTTTGGCTTGGTGTGTTTTAGCTGTGAAAGAGGAAAAGGGAAATTTGATTTGCTGGGTTGCTCAGAGTGGAAGTTTAAAGTTGTGAAGGGGAAGAAAGAGCACCTTTCTATGTTCAGAACGTGAGTGTGGGAGGGCAGTTCCACAGAGCTCCCACTTGTGACTCAGTGTAGCCATTAAACAGAAGCTGGCCTCTGAAATACTCTGGTTTTCCAGGTGGACTTATAACTAGAAAACTTCTAATGAAGATGGCAAGGGAGAGGTACTGTGTGCAGTGTTTAAGGATTGAGTTCTACTGCAGCAGAGAAGAGCTAGTGAGCATCGGAAATTATTCTG